CCTAGGGACATGAAAGCACAGGCAGTACTGATTTTGATTATATATATACACACACACACACACATATATATATATATACACACATGTATATATATAGTCCTCTCATTAGGTTTATTTTAGAAATGAAACACAGCAAAAGAGTAACCACAATAACTAATAATAAAATAGAACATATGACAACTATAATGAAATTGTCAGCATCACTACTCTTAAGGGTCATCAAATGGTAACTACAAAAAATTGAAAATATGAATACTTTCACAAATCTAGTACAATAAATTCTAAAGGGTTACCTGAACACATGCACTATGATACGATGACAGCGAACAGGTGGACAGTGTCTATGGAGTAGTTATGTCACACAAAGGGACAACTGATACCCTGGGTGACACTGAAACAATGCAAAGTTTCATGATGGTATTCAGACTGGCATGAAATTTAAAACTTATGAACCCTTTATTTCTGGCATGCTCCATTTAATATTTTTAGACTGCAGGTGACCACAGGTAACTAGAACTGTGGGTAATGAGACCCACGGCACTTGCTCATTCCATTGTCTCATCTCCACTGGAGCCAGTCTGCACGTCAGCACTAGTGGCCATACTTCACTTACATTCCAGCCATGCCATCTCCAAGAATCAGCTTAATGACCTGGAGCCATGGCGAACAGCCAAGTATGAACTTCTGACCCAAGGCGGGGGAGTCATTAAGAAGCTCACCTAACCTAGTCAAACCATTCTCCTTCCCAGCAGTAGAAAACACAGAGGTCAGCCCCTCAGCTGTGGAATTTAGATGGCCTTCACATCACCATGATGGCCCATGTCATGTGTAAGCTGAGGAATAAACAGAAGCCACCCATATGCAGAGAGGACAATAGTACAAAGCAGAGACTCCTAGTACTGTATCGTCTTCAAAGAGCCCCACTCCCCTTTTCCCCAGAAAGAATCCCTTCAGCTGGCTTTGAATTCCTCATAGCACAAAACAGAAAAGCTGTGATGGGAACAGGCTCCGAGACTTGCCTGGATGATGTGGGAAGGAAACAAAATACTAAGAATGAAGTTCAGTTTCCAAGCAGAGATTAGACCAAATATTTAATACCTATTTAACACTCATAGACTGGACTTACTTTAATCAATAGTTTCTCTGCCTCAATCAAATGCTTCCTGTTAGATCTACTTACTAGCAGCTTAGCTTGCTCTGGAAGAGTGATCTGTTCCCTTTTTCCATCTGGGTACCGCAACATCAGCTGTGCTTTTGGTCCTGGGGTGGGGGAGCAGAGGGAGGAGAAGGGAGGAAAGGGGAAGGAAGGGAAAGAATGAATGAATGAATTTAAGATACAAGATTAAATCAGCACACACAAGCAAGTCATCACTGATACTTGCTCTTTAAGTGTGATTGTACTAAAACCCACCGTTTACATCCGCCCCTTCCATAATTCCATCTGACTTTTCAGGTGACATCTCCAGGATCTCTGGGTCCAAAGCTGGCAATACTTGGTGATTTGTGGCTGTCCCAGGCTCAGTTCTGGCAGGGGCCTCAGTCAGTGACCTCCTGTTCTCCTCTTTTCTATGCCCCAAATCTTTGTGGGGAGATTTTCTGGATTTGGCAAGATTTTCTACCTCTTCTTCTTCATCGGAGCCACAAATAGATATGAACTCCTCACTGCCAGAAAAAAGTTCAGATTCAGACTCCTCATCTGAGCGGCTGTCCTGCTTCGTCTGAGTGGAGTCAAAATGCGTCTCCTGCAGGGAAGCTCTGATGGCAGCTTCCAGCTGACTGTCCTCACTTGCATCTATCAGGCTCTCCTGTGGAGGCAATCATAAACACAGGTGGAAAGAAAGACACACAAACAAAAATCAACAAGTCAAACAGAGTATAGAAGTATTATGGCCAACTTGCTGTTATTATTTTTTGGTGAATATATATCTCTTCTACTAAATTTAAGCTTTTGAGGGCAAGGATTTTTGTGTTGCAAAGCCAAAAATTAATGGGCATTTTATAAGCATACCACAGCACCAGTATTCTGGCCATAAAATGAACAAAACCAAGAAAACAGTTTATTCCTTGCTCAGAAAAAGACAAGAATGAAACTTGTAAACCTAAAGCCTAAATGCTATTCTTCAACATAACTAAACAACAGAAAAAGATGTCTATCTTGCTCACTGTTATACCTATCAACTAGCACTGATTTTTCTTTTGGAGACAGGGTCTTGCTATGTAATTCAGATTGGCCTTGAACTTCCAGGGATCCTCTTGCCTCAGCCTCCTACGTGCTGAGATTACAGGCATATACCACCACACCTGGCTAGCACTTATTTCTAACATTCAAAATAAAATACAATATGAAAATAACCAAATCCTCCCAAACTTAATTACAGTAAAGGTTTTCATTATAATGACAAGTTCTCCCCTTGGTAAAGTTCTCACATCACTAAATAAACTGAGTTACAAATATGAGTTGTTTGAGACAAATTATTTAGATCTTAGCTCAAGCATACTCCATAGAAAAAATTTGTAAGACAACTTAAACTTAAACACTGTATACTTCATGGTATTGAGAAATTAGTGTTAATTTTTAAGGGTATGTTAGATGGTATTATGATGGTGTTTTTTGAAAATAAAAAGAGCTCAGGTATGGGGTGGTGCACATTTTTAATCTAAGCATGTGGGAGGCAGGGGCAGGTGGACTGCCATGAGTTTGAGTCCATCCTGGGTTATCCAGTGAGATCTTGTCTCACAAACCAAAAATAAAATGAATAAATAAAAAGAGCTTTTACCAAGACACATGTCAAAGTATCAAATGAATTAAACAATGAACTGAGATTTCTTTCAAAATAATGCAGATACGGTAGAATATAAATAAAAGTCTGGCCACCTCTAACTGGTTGAAATTATGTGATAAAGCCTTGATAAATTTCTTCAAATTTTCAATATGTTTAAAATTTTCCACAATAAAAACATTAAAAATATATGTTGCTAATAAAAAAGGAATGCCTGACATCCACTATCTGCCAATACATAGCAACAAAGAAAAAATTTTAAATCAATTTAAGTCTATAATTTGTCATTTCCCAAAAGCAGGTAGATGGGCCCATGAAACACACAATAGCTGAGGTGGACTGAAGGTCAGTCACAATGATGCTGCACCAAGCATGGTGGCACGCCTGTAATCTCAGCACTTGGGAGGCTGAGGCAGGAAGATCAACACAAGTTACAGGCCAGCCTGAACTACATAATGAGACCCTGACTCAAAAACAAACAAACAAAAACCCCCAACCACTCCCCTAAAAAACCCAGAATGTCCAGCTGAGAAATTGTATCTAATTTTTCTCTGTAGCTAGAAACTAGAAAAGAATTACAGTATTGAGCTATAACAGTACTTATAGAGAAAATTACAGAATTAAATGCTTACATTAGAAGAAAGGTCTCAAATTAATCACTTAAGTGTCCACCTTAAAAAAAAAAGAAAAAGAAAAAAACAACTGTCCACTTAGGAAAGAGAAAGTGAAATTAAGCCCAAACTAAACAGAATGGGATGGACCAGAAATTAATGATCTAAAAAACAGAAATACAACACAGAAAAATCAATGAACCCAAAAGCTGGTTCTGATCAGTAAAACGGTTAGCCATGTAATTAAACTTAGGAAAAAAAGAGAAAAGCAATATATTAATAATAACAGGATTAAGAGAGGAGATAGCTACTATTTCTACAGTCTATAGAGGAGTAACAAAGGAATACAATGAACTTCAAATATCTGACCCCTTAAGTAAGATCCCTGGAAACACACAGTCTTCAAAAGCTCATTCAAAAAACATATCTACATAGTCCTGTACCTAATAAGGAAATTGAATTAGCAGTTTCAAACTTCCCACAAAGGAAAGCTCTAAGCCCAGGTGGTAAATGTCACCAAATATTAAGAAACAATTTCAATTCTACACATATTCTTGTAGGAAATAGAGGAAGTAGAAACACTTTCCAATTCATTATAAGGTCAGTATTAACCTGATACCAAAATGAGAAAAAGATATGAAAGGCAGTATAAAAAAGAAAAAACAAAAACAAAAAAACAAGAACAGGAACCCCTCAAAAAACCTGAATTACTCAAGAGCAGACACACAAATTCTTAATAAAATTTTAGTAAATCAAGCTGGGTATAGTGGTACATGCCTTTAATCCCAGCACTTGGGAGACTGAGGCAAGAGGACTGGCATGATGGCAGATACGTGTAATCCTAGCATGCGGGAGGCAGAGGCAGGATGACTGCTACAAGTTTGATGCCAGCCTGGGCTACACAGTGAGTTCAAGGCCAGCCAACCAAGATTCTTTTTCTTTTCTTTTTCTTTTTTTGGAGACAGGGTTTTACTATGTAGTTCACGCTGGCTCTAAAGTCACTATGGAGCCCAGGCTGGCCCTAAACTTACAGCCATCTTCCTGCCTCAGCCTCCTGAGTGCTGCGATTGCAGGTATGCACCACCACACCCAGTTACAAAGCAAGATTCTGTCTGGAAAAAAACAAAAAAACAAATCGAACAAAAAAAATTAAAAACCATATTATCATCTCAATAGATATTTTTAAAATTATAAAATCCACTAACAATAAAAACTCAGCAAACCAGGAACAGAAGGAAAGTTCCTCAGCCTAATAAAACACAAACATCTAGATGAAATATACAGTTAACATCACATTTAGGAGTGAAAGACTGAACTCGTCCCACTAACATCAGAGATATTTGAAGATGTCCAGTCTCACTATTTCTACTTCATACTGTACTGGAAATGGCAGCCAGTGTGACAAGATATGAGAAAGAATTAAAAAGGCTAGGGATTAGAAAACGAAAGTGTTTATTTGCTGAAAACATAACAATCCATATAGAAAATTCTAAGAATCTACAAAAGTGCCAGGCGTGGTGGTGCACACCTGTAATCCCAGCACTCGGGAGGCTAAGACAGGGGGATCGCTGTGAGTTCCAGACTAGCCTGGGATACACACAGTGAGTTCCAGAGCAGTCTGAACTACATAGTGAGACCCTGTCTCAAAAAACACAAAAAACCAAACCAAAACAAAACAAAATCTACAAAAGAGCTATTATAACTAGAAAGTTAATTTAGTGAGGTTGCAGGCTACAAAGTCAATGTGCAAGAACTAGAAAACATTACTGAGAGAAAGACAAAGCAATGGGGATGCTGACACACCTGAAAATTCAACTGTTAGAATGTCAATTCTCAAAATGCTCCATAGTCAATACAATTCCAATTAACATCCTAGCATCTTTTTTTTTAATGAAGTGACAAGTTGGTTTTAAAACTTACATGAAAATTCAAAGGACCTGAAATATAATAACTAAAACAATGTTTTGCTCCTGGCACTAGGAGCTCCAGGGGATGAACTCAGAGCCTTCACAAAGAATTATATCCCCAGCCCTTTTCATCTTTTATTTTGAGGTAGGTTCTCACTGTCAAGGCCTGTCCTACATCAAAGCAAACAAGTTGCTTTAAGCAAACAGCACCAGCTTCTCAGTAAATAGGACAAATGGACTCAAAATGAAGTATACAACCCCCGGTTGCAGAAAGTCCAGTAATTGTGTATGCACCTGAGTAGAATGTCCTTGGGGATCCAAATCTTAAATATTTCCCCCCAGATTCTTTAGACCCTTCAAAACTTATATAAGCCAAATTCCTTTCCCAGTTAGTTGCTAATTTCTCTCCTGGTGTTAGCCATCCATAGATGGATGTGATAAACTTGGCTTTTCCCAGCTAGCTATCTCCTGATTTTAGTCCCTGTTCACTGCAATAAACTTTCCTTTCAAAAGCCTGTTTTTGACATGTGGATTCTTTATGATACTAAGTCACTCGCAAACCCAGGCTGGGCTCAAACTTGTAATTCTCCTGCCTCAGCCTCCCACAGTGCTGGGATTTATAGATATGTACCATCACACCTAGCCCTACAACAATTTTAAAGAACTATGGTATACATATCAGACCATGTAATTTCAAGACTCAATGCATAATTATATGTAAGATACATTAATAAAGACAGTAAAATATTTATATAAAGGACAAACCATTCACTGAATTCACTGAGTTCATAAAGAGACCCATACATAATCAGGATAATCAGGTTGTTTTTTTAAAAAAAAATTTAACAAAGATGCAAGGCCAATTCAATGGGAGAAAGGAAATTCTATTAAAAAGATGATAATGAAACAAGTGAATAAAGCCAGACATGGTGGTGCACGTCTGTAATCCAGCGTTCTGGAGGCTGAGGCAGAAGGATTGCTGTGAGTTCAAGGCCAGCTTAAACTACATAATAGACCCTGTCTCAAAAAAAAAAAAAAAAAAAAAAAAAAAAAAAGGAAAAAT